TGGGACCTAATGAGGAGCTGCTGGGGTGCAATTACGCGCCCGGCCCGGGCTCTGCACCGGCTGACTGACAGCTCATTACCCCGCTGCCATTTTGGGGCGGTGAATTTAATCTCCCAGACGGGAAGCAAATCAATTTGCCCATCTGCTGCAGCTGTGCCTATGCGAACTCCGCTGTAATTTATTCTCTTCGGCTCAGGAAGCCTCGTTGCTTTTAGGTACAGAAATAGGTCTCGTGGCCGGCCTGGCCAGGGAGTGCTCAGGTGGACATGCCGAGGGGGTTGGGCTGTGAGGGTCAGAAGGGAGGTGCCATCAGCCTGGCTCAGAGGAAGCCAGGTTCTCGCCCAGGAGGCTGGGCTCCTGGATGGGAAGGTTGTATGTGGGGGGGGGAAGGCGTTGTGTGACATCCCATGTTGCTGGGATTGAGGTCACCTGCTCAAAGTCTTGGGACCGGCAGGCACTTCTGCCAGCAAGGCACATACGGCTTGCTTACCTGCATCCAGGACCGTGTTATTCTGAGCCATGGGCGTGGCTCTGGTTTCCGGGCTTTGGACACAGAAGGTTTGGGAGGTGTCACTCTGGGACCCAGGTTTCTGCCCTCTGTAAAGTGCGGTCATCACCAAAGCCAAGGTGGTGACTTTTGACTGGGGACACGGGGACCGTCTGCAGGGCAGTCCGAGGCCTCTTCCCCAGTGAGCACATTACCTGTGGCGTGTGCGCCTGGCCACATTGGCGGGGCTCCCATCCCCTGCTGAGGGAGTGGGGCCCCTGCAGGCTCTGGAAGGTGGTCTGGGCGCCCCCTCTGAGCACTCTCAAGGGGGCTGTTGGCAGATTCAGATTCACAGGGCCAAACAGGTGAAGTGGGGCATCTCCTGGGAGAAACGCCGTTTCGTGGGAGAGTTTAGGATGATGCCACTCAAGTTGGAAGGTGTTTCTTTGCATGTCCCTCTGTTCTGCACGCTGCATATGGAGGGCTCTGGAGTCTCTTCAGGGGCACGTGAGCGAATGCGTGTGTGTGCACATGAGCATGAGTGCCCATGGGTGTAGGAGGGTATGTGTGTGAGCATGGGTTTTCATGGGTGTGGGAGGGTGTGTGCATGGGTGTGTGTGAGCATAGGTTTGCACAGGCACGGGAAGGCATGTGTGTATTCATGGGTGTGTATGTGTGCACGATGTGCATGGGTGTGGGGTGTGTGTGTATGTGTGTGTGCGTGGGTGCATGTGCACAGCTGGGTGTTGGTGTGGGAGTCACTCTGGTGGGAGAAGAGGGGTGAGGAGGAAAGCACCTTCTGTGGAGAGAATGTTTCTGAGACTCCTCCTCAGCGTTGACAAAACAGCCCCTGCTGGTTGGTTTTTAGGGGTCAGAGAAAGGCCACTGTATTTACACACCGTTGCTGTGGAGCATAGAGGGGTGGTGCTGGGGGCTGGGACTAATGAGCAGTTTTATTGCCTCACCCATCAGGAGGGTCACGTGATATTATTTTGATATGGGAGCCCCCTAAAGCAAACACAACAGGCCAGGGGGTAAATAGAAGAAAATAGAAGAAAAGGGGGCCTCACCCCTGGCCATTGAACATTTCCCTTTCTTCTCAGCCCGGGGTGTGCCCAGGACCTGCCTCCCAGGGCCGGTGCCTGCAGGCCACTCACTCCGAGATGGCACCAAGGCCAGCTCCCGAGATAACACTGGCCCCATGGCGCCTGGCAGTGAAAATTAGACATTGAAGTTGCTAATGAATAAATCGACCAGGCCACACCCCCTGGCCACCCCCCGCCCCCCCAGCCACCGCTGCCTCTGACGGTAGGGAGAGCAGGACCCGCTCAGGGTGACTGATAGCAGCGTGAGTGACAAACCAGGGAAGGAGAGGAGTGCCCTCACCCCCCCCTTTTTTTTTTGCCTTCTTTTCTGTCGGGACTAACTGTAGTTGTGACCAAAGAGCCACCTGACTCTGAACAAGAGGAAGGAATTCTGCCCGATAAACCAACCCAGGATGGACAACTCCACACACAAGCCGGGGAAAGAGCTGGGGAGCAGACGGTGGGGCAGTGGGGCTGGCCTGGCGGCCAGTGGCCGTACGCCCTGGCTTCTCAGACACACTGAGAATCTGCCCCCACCTCACACGCACTGGGGCTGAGATGCCTGGGGGCACCTTGCCACTGACCTCCTATCACCTTGCTTCCTCAGCCTAGAATGTTCCAGCCTTTCCTGCGAAGTCCAGCTCTAGGTTACCTGCCCCAAGGAACGCCCTCCCCCCCAGCACTCTGAGTCGGGGTGCCCATTCAACAGGCACGTCTCTAGGTCCCCACTCTGCTGGCCAGAGGCTGTATGTCACCTGCCTTGCTAAGAGCCCCTGATCTGAAGCCGCATTCATAACCACGACCCAGTAAGTCCTTGTTGGCCACTGGATTGCTTTAAATACTCCTTCTGTTCACCCCTCACCCAGCTGGTTCTGTTTATGCTTCCAGGGCTGACCACACAGGACAGCCATCCGTGAATAGACAAGAGGCCCTGCCTCACCGGGGCAAAGTGCCGGGTGCATACCAAAGGAGAAGCCAGCCCCCGGGGCGGGGGTGTGGAAGAGCTGTTCGTGGTCAGACAGCTGGGGTCAGATCCCAGCTCCACTGAGAGCTGTGTGACCTTGAAGAAGATGCCTCACGTCTCTGTTTGTAGTTTGCTATCTATAAAATAGGGATCATGTGAACAACTTTCTAGAGCTGCTGTGAGAAGCAGAGGAAACAGGTGTGGAGGACGGGGTGGGGGGGGCGGGGTATACGCACGTGTGCGCGCACACACGCACACGCACACACACACTGGTGATTACGGTTGGCTTAGCTGTAGCTAGAGCCACGGTGCCATGTCATTCACAGGGGCTCCTGGAAAAGCAGGGCAGAGACCGTATGGATTACTCCGGACAGAGCCCAGCTGCCGAGGGCAAGGGCTGATTTTTAGAAACAAGTGCGCGGTGGGGATGGGGGCAGGCGGATGGTGTCTGCCCTGGGCTGTGGTGAGACCACAGGAGTGTGTGACCCAACGTTGGGGCTGGGGACTCAGGCGCACTGGCAGTGCGACAGCCCGCTGAGCGCCCCTGCTGCAGAGCACGCACTGCAAGCCGCACTCACTGCAAACTGCTGCCGCCAACAGCTCACAGCCAAGGGGAGGGTGGGGCAGACCACAGACTTCCCCCCGCCCTTCCCCCCACCAAGAATCCTTTCATTTTTGGTAAATTCTAACAACTGCAAACTTGTCTTTTGAATAGAGAGAGGCATGTGTGCATTTCAAGCAGTTCCTCGCAGCTACATCAGTTTTTAAAGTAATGAGCTGTTTTCTTCTTTTCCGTAAACATGAGGCTGACATGAGAGAACAATTTTTGAGCCCAGTTTTAAAACAAACTGGGTGGTTTGGAGATGATGGGAATCCCAGGCAGCTGGTTGGCTCTCTTTCCTCCGTTTCATTGAAAAGAATTTCTTCAAGGAGCCCACAGCTCAGGAGCACGATGCACTTTGGATTATTGAAAGTTTAGAAATATTTAGGTGATTATGGCAAATAATTCACACAAATCCTGACCAATGCAATTTATTCTTTTGTGCAAGCACAAGGAAGAGCAGAAACCAGTCATCCTTTTTTTTTTTTTTTTTTACTTCCCAATCCTCTCAGTGCCATCTAGTGGAGACCCATGCTAGACACAGGATTTGCTTCTCTGGGCTTCCTTCTCCAGAGCTAAGGAAATGCCTGCTTCTCCCTCACCCAGAAGCCAAGAAACCCCAGTGTCTTCTGTGTGTCTGCCTCTAAGTTAGAAATACCACCAAGGCCAAGTGCACTCTCTCAGGTTGCTGGTTTGTGTACCCCAGGAGGCCTGTATCCCAGTGGTCAGCATCTCTGAATTTGTAGCCGGTGGCCTGTGATTCGAGGTGGCACTGCTGACACACTTCTCCCAGCCTCGGTGTCCTCAGCTGTGAAGTGGCTCTAATAACAGGATCTGTCTGGGGGGGTCACAAGGACAAAATGAAATGATTCCCACAAGGGACTCAACACAGTGCCTGGCACGCAGCAAAATACCAGATTCCTAGTCAGGAAGTAAGCGCATGTAACCTAGACCCCGTCAAGATCCCGGGGGGAAAACTGAAGTCTTAATAACACCTCACACTTAGGAGAGACGTGGACAGATCCTCAGTCTGAGTGGGAAGTAGCTGCGTTTTGTTGGAGAGCTGGCGGTGTGAAGGCGCGGGGCTTCCCTTTGGTCTCCTTAGGCGCCCGTGGCATTCCCCCACACTGTGGTGCCGGCCGCCTCCTAGGCCAAGTCCGCTTCAGAAGCAGGTATGTTCTTTTCCAAACAGACAGAAGCAGTTTCCCGTGCTTCTCGGGCAAATTTAAATGAAGGCAAAAAATTTTGAAGCAAATAGTGTCTGTGCATTGCTGAGTTTAGGCAATAAGAGTTTAGCTCCTCCGGTCCAGCTGGGATCCTTCTAAATAACCCACAGGCCTGAACTCCCACAGCGGGGGAAGGCACGGAAAAGCTGGAGGCACGCCTTGGGGACCGTGGTGGTGGCCCCTTGCCCTTGGAAAGCTCCTGGTACTAGGGCTCCCCAGCCTGCAGGAACAACAGGCCCCACACAGCCCTGGGGGAGGTCTCGAGGCTTCTGCAGCTCCATCGGGGCCATGGGCCCAGCCATGAGCCAGAGACTGGCAGGCGGGGGTGGGTGGCAGGACAGAGTCGGGCTCTGGTACCAGCCTGCCACTTGCCGCCTGCTTTCAGTACATTTGCTTCCTCACCCCTGAAATGAGGGTAACGCCTTTGCCCCAGTGTGCAAGGATGGGAGGACAGACTTCACATCAACTCCCTCTACCAGCCATTAGGACCTGCAGATGCTACCCCCCCTCCCCCACCCCACTGCAACCCTCCAGGGGGCGGGCTGTCTCACCCCGGGCACCCCCCACCCACCCCCATCCTGCGGAGAGAGAAATGGACTTAGGCCTCCAAGGCACAATAATTTGAAATGCACCAAACAACAGTTTAACATTTTACTAAATCAATTCACACAAATTCCAAATTGCAAATATAATTAAGGACAACAGACTCTTGTTTTGTCTTTTAAATCTTTCATTTTCAAATCCATCGTTAAGACAAAAAGTAAACAAAAATTAAGTCTGCGGCATATTCATGATTCTTCTTCTTGAAGGACAAAAAAAAAAAGGAGCATCGTAGTAAAAAGAACGCCACGGGGTGTACGATAAAGCACCACGACACACGGTTACGACTCGGGCTTCCTGGGTTCTGCCTCCCGTAGTAGACGCTGCTCTCCCACTGCTCTGCGTCAAGCAGGATTTCATTAAAATAAAACTATAAAATCTCCTAGGTTACACTAAAGTCAGACACAGTCTGGAACACAGTGCTTAACAACAGTAATGCCAACTATCAGTGCTAACGTAAAAACATTTTAGAAAGTCGAAAACAATTAAACTGGAAATCAAAACCTTATTTTCCCTAGATGAGCAAACTGAAAATGAAAGGGTTCCCGCCTCCCAGTTGGAGTGAAGGGAAGGGGGTTTTTCTTTTCTTTCACATTGGAGGCCGGGAGCACGGGGTGGGCTGGCCCTGTCGTTCCCCAGCCTAGTTGGCATCCAGCTTGGCCATTTCCTGCACGTAGATGCCTATACTCTCGCTGTCAAAGAGCACGAAGTACACTGTTTTGATGGAAGAGGACATTGTGGACACGAAGTAACTGGAGATGGCCTTCAGGATCAGCTGAGCTGCCGTCTGCTTCGGAAAACCGTTCCTGCAAGACAGAGGACGAGGGCTCACCAAGGGAGGTCGCGGCAGCCATGGGACCATCCCCACCCACACACCCTCCCCCTCCGGGGGGCTCTCAAGGCCATGAGTGCCACAGTTTGCCCCATGCTGGGTCGGGTGGCTGCTTGGACACAGGCATGAGAAAGCTCAGAGCCCACCAGACAAGAGAAGGACGAGTGGGCCAGGAACCACGACCCGCAGGAGAATGTCTTCTGTGGCGTGTGGTGTGCGTTTAGTCCCCCAAGGCTCCCTGCGGGTCTCAGCGCCAGGGGCGGTGGGAGGCTGCAGCTTCTTCAGGAAGCTCTCAGCTCGTGCACACAAGTGACGGGCCACGCCCTTCCCACCAGCCCTTGGCTGCATGGGTGCAAGGCTGCTGGCCAGGAACCAGCTCCCAGTACATGGCAGCTTGTTCCAGCCCAAAGGCCAGGGCGTCAGAGAGCTGTGGGCACAGGGGAACAACTCCAGGCCAAGTGGTCTTCGTCTCAAAGGACAGATAGCATGTGTCTCCAAGCCAGGCCGGTGTGAATTCACACACATCTCCATTTGAAGTGTCATGTAGCAATTTGGGGGGCAGGGTCTCAGAACTTAAGCAAGGATCTGAAAGTAGTGCTCCTTGTTTCACGGGAGCCCGAGGCTGTTCCTGGTCAAGGCCGTAGATGCAGGACCCAGGTGACCCAGGGGGACAGTGGCAGCTGGGTACCAGCTTGCCTAGTCTGGTGGAGATAACGTGGACTTTGGAGCCACTGGTCCTGGATTCAAGTCCCTGACCCCAACTTATACTTAAAGCTATCGAGGGTGAGAGTCTGGGGCCAGTTTTCCCGAGTTCTTTGTCCACCCGCAGATCTACAGTCTCCCATCTGCTCTGGGCCTGCGGGTCCGTTGGTGCCCCAAGTGCTGGGCCAGCTTGCCAGGCTCAGTGGGACCCTCTATCAGAGGAGACCTGATGCCAAGTGAGCGGTTTCCCAGACCACTCCTGGCTTCACTGGCTGAGGGCCGGAAGCTCTGACGCCCCAGCTGCTCCCCTGGGAGAGCCGAGCGATTCTCCTCGCCCGCGCTCACAGCGCTGCGGGTGCACCCGCACCGGAGAGAGCTGTTCCCCTGACTTGCTTTTGATCCAGCAGGGCTTCACCCAGCCTGACGACGCTCCCCCAGGAACTCCTGGAGGCTTTAGAAGTGAAGCTGGTTCTTAGAAGACAGGGGTGTCACCCAGGACATGCTCCCAGCCTATACAGGGGAGCCTGTGGGTGACTGTGGGGTGCAACCCAGAGTCGGCGCACCTACACACACAGGTGGCTCCTCCTCAGCCACCAGGCACACCTGCATGGCCACCAGCACGCACAGGACTGCGGGGGAGGGCGGTGGGGTCAGAGGCTGTGGGGAGAGGCTGGGCTGTTACAGCCTGATGGTGTGTCAGGCACGGCTTCCTCCCGGGGAGGTCCTGGGGACTCCATCCACCACTCAAGTCGGGGTGACCAACAGGAAGCCAGGATGGAGGGTGGTGGAGACAGTGCAGGGCCAAGGGCTTTGCTGGGAGTGAGGCGGGGTACCCAAGTGGCGGGTCGTTCCCGCACCCTTCCCTGCTCCGGGATCAGCGAGCTCAGTGTGGGGAGAAGCCGCCCGTGCCACACCTGGCACGGTGCTCCAACTGCCGTCCCGGGAGCGGAGACGGAGGACAGGCCACCCGAACCAATGCAGGTTGCGGTGTGCTGGGGGGAGTCAACTTGGCCTTTTGCTTTGGGGGCTGTCTCGCCGATGAGTGTGTTGGGGGGGTAGGTGTGCAAGTGAGTGTCTCAGGGAGCATGGGGGTGAGGGGCTGCCCTTCCTACCCCTGGCTCCCTCCTGAGAGGGAGGCCCAGCCTGCTTTGGAGAGTGGGGTGCAGGCACAGGGTCACTGCATCGCTGGAATGGGGGCCCATTTTCAGTGTCTTGACAAACAGCAAATGTCTGTTTTACTGCTGTGAGTGCAGCTGCTGCCTGGAGGGCTGGTCAGGGTAGCTAGAGGCTGCCGGGCCCAGGGAGCTGGCAGGGCACTGGAAGCAGCCTGCAGGGGCCATGGGAAGTCTGAGGGCTTCCGGACCAGGCAGAGCCATCTGTGGACGTGACCTGGCTGGGGCAAGGGGGCGAGGGGGTGCTGAGTGGAGCTGTAAGGAGAGGCTCCCCACATGGAAGCCAAGGTTATGCTCCACCAGCACCAAGCTGCCCTAGTGAGGGCGCCACTCTGCCCATCCATCCCTGCCTCACACCTGCACAGGTGAGCTGGGCCGAGGTGAGGGCCTCTAGGACTTCCTGGAGGAGCAGTGCATTGTGGGCCTGATGGTCACAGCCTGTCCCCACCGGGGTTGCCAACAGGGGGCATGGCCCTAGCCCCTTCTGCCCTTGCTGATGGGGCCTCCCTGGGCGCCAAGCCCACGCCAGTCACTCCCGCCCCAGGGCACTTCCCAACACAGCCTTTCTCCCACAGGTTCCGTCCTTTGCCTGGGACCCTTGACAAGGGCCACACGATTCTCAGCAATGGGGTGCCCTTCCTTGTCCTTACATCAACAGCTTCCCACATAGCGGAGCCTGCCTCGGGATTGAGAGGGGCCTGTGGAAATGCAGGCTGTGGGCCCCCACGCAGGGGTTCTGACCAGCGGGCGTGGAGTTGCCCCGCTCCATGGAGCCAGCACGGACTTCACGCTCTGAGCTCGCAGGCCGGGCCCAGAGGTGAAGAGCCTGCAGGCGGGGAGACAGGCAGGGACTGACTGTGGGGTGAACGTGACTTGGACAGCCACAGCCTATACGAGAAACCCTGCCTCGGGAGTGGGCGCACTGGACCGCCTGGGCACCTGGAAGGCACGAGGGTGGCGGCTTTCCTGCTGTTTTCGGGCGGGGCCCCAGTCTGTTTCCCAGTAGCCACGGCTGGGGTGTCTGTACCAGAACGGACTGCACAACAGATGTCCTCACAGGGGCGCTGGACATGCAGCCCTGCGCCCTTGGGATGGGGCAGCATGGCACATGCAGCTGCTGGAGCTGCAGAGGACTCGAGTTCGGGTCCCATCTCTGCACCTCATTTCTCCACCTGGTGCAGCAGGGTCGGACAAGATGATGCACCGTGCCCTCAGTCACTCGTGTTTCTGCGAGGTGGGTGGTCTTGGTCTTTCTAAAGGCTCACGCAATGGGAATCTGCCTCCCCCTGAGCCCGTGACAGCTGTGACTGGCTGACGCCTGCTGTCACTGCAGTTACCCTGTGCTAACAGTGTGCCACCAGGGCCCTAGGGTGCTATCGGGATCTGTGTGGCCCAGTCCTCTCAGAGGGAGGCCAGCCCGGATTGGTAGCGTGCGGGGGTAGGGGTGTGGGTTCCCTGGGTAGGTGCTGCCCAGCTTCTGCGGGGGGGCGGGGGGGGGGGCGTGCTGCTTGGCTGTGCCTTGGTGCCTTCTGCCCCCATCTCAGCCTACTGCCTCTGTGACAGTCACTCTGTCCCATGCTGCACCGTGTCTGCCTTCTGGATGAGGCCAGCTGCCACCTCCTCTCAAATACAACTGAGCAACAGGAGCGAGGGCTTACACCCTAGGGTCAGATGCAGACCTGAATCTGACCTGCACAGGGTGTCGGCCTCTCAGCGTCCCCTCCTCTACTGGAAAATGGGTACCTCCAGGGTGCACATGGTGGGGGCCACGGTGGCGGTGACGCCAACACTGCTGCCCCTGAGAGGGGCGTCCGCCCCCTTCCCCTCAGCCTGACGCAGCTGCGGTGGTTAGGGCTCGTGTCTTAAGTTCCTCTGCAGCCAAGTGCACACGCCCTACACAGGGCTTATCTTGGACTTGGACCTTTTTCTTCTCAGCCTTGCCTTGCACAGACTGAGGAGGACAGGTGCCTGGCTTCCCCTGAAGTCATTCAGGTTATGCCCGGGACAGCCTTTCCTAAAGGTCTTGGTCCTCAGTGTCCCTGGACTAGTGCAAGGGGACCCCACGGGCTATCTCCTTCCGGTGCCTTCTTGGGCCAGCCTGCTCAGTGGTGGCTGGGGACTGTACACATTGGTTGCCTGTCCCACTATCCATCCAGATGGCAGAAATTTGGGTCCGTAGGGCCCAAACTTCCCAGAAGTTCCAGTTCTTCCACCTCTGATGAGCCTGTGCTTTGTGTGGGGCAGCGCCAGGCATCCCCGCCCCAGTGAGCCTGCCCCCCACAGCCGGGCTGGGCAGCACAGAGGAACCCAGGCCCCGACCTGTGTTGAGCAGGCCCAGCAGAGGCCAGTGGGGAGAGGCTGTGCCCTGGGGCTGGGGCGAGTCAGGTGGATTTTCTGGAGAAGACAGGTGGGCAGCATGCCCGTGAAGGCTGCACAGGTGTAAACGTGCACTTTAGGTGGGGCCTGGTTTGCTTGCTGGGCCAGTCCAGCCGTCTCCGCTGTTTGGGAGACTGGGGGGGCTCAGTGTCTTGGGAGTGGGGGTGACATGGGAAAAACGTCACCCTGTGTGGACACTCTTCTGGGATTCGGTCCCCCCTCACACCGAGATCCTGGGCCCTCCATTTTCCCATGTTCTGTCTTTGAGCCTGTCCGGAGTTGCCCTGGCCAGAGGTAAAGACCAGGCCGTCAGGGTGCTCAGCTGACAGCAGGGGACTACCAGCGGGAGAAGTCAAAACCAGAAAGGGGTGATGATGGGCTCTCTGTCCCACAAAGCCAGAGGGGGGCCCAGGCAGCACAACCCCAAAGGAGGCTTCTCTCACTCAGGACTAGTGTGTTTGGGGTTAATAAGTGATTCTCCCTAATTCAGTTGGTTTCTGTGCTTTACATGTCTCTTCTCGGGCTCATGCCTGAGGATAGGGAGGCCGATGGCCATTCCAAGTGGGGTTCCAAGGTTCCCTGAAGCCCATGCACAGAGAGTGTGCAGACAGTGGGGCGAGCCACCAGCAGGATGCAAGGAGGTGGGTCTGTGACCACCGGGGACAGGAGGCAAGGGTTCCTTGTGCCTAATGTTATGAGTGCCCCTGAAACCAGGGGCCTCTAACCAGATTCTGGTCCTACCCAATGCAAGCGGTGTGACCACAGGTAAGTGACGTAACCCCTCTGAGTTTCTGGTTCTGCACCTTTGAGTGGAAATAATAGTACGTCCCTCGAAGGGTTGTTGTGAGAGGATGCAGCTAAGGGTTTTTAGCACAGTGCCTGGGGCTCAGTAAATACCATAAATGGTAGCTTGAAAAAGACAAACTGTCTTTCCTTTTAAGCTCATAAACCTAAGGAGAATTTAATCAAAGCCCCAGATGAAGCTACTCCCCAGGACCGCCCCTCCGGAGAGGGGTCGCTCCCTAATGTCAAACAGCTGAGGGAGTGGGGTGTACATAAATATTGTGACCAGAATGCCCAAGGACAGGATGTCCAGATGCTGGAGGTGGCTTCCCAAGGCTACATGCCCAGGTCTCATTTATGTCCAGTGGGCTTTGAGGCTGGCCTGGGGGCCGATGGGCTGGAGGAAGGGGTCTGTGGTCGTGGCCACCCTTCAGATGCCCAGGATGCTGAGCTGGGCTGGGAGAAAGTGAGGCCACTGTACCAACACGTTTGCGTTTATCCTGTTTTAATTCCAGCACGACTCTTATGCCAGAGACACTGGATGCCACAAACAAGCCGTTTTATTTCCCCTCCTAAAGCCCGCTGTGATTTACGGGCCGGCTCTGCTGTGATCCCGGCCCCACTCATGAAAGGGCAGCTGCTGCCGCGGCGCTGCGGGGCAAGGTCTGCCCGGCAGATGTGGGGCCGGGCGGCCGTGCACATGTGCTCACCTTAGGAATTCCGCCCTCTTAAAAGCTTTCAATTGATTATTTCTTAAAACTTTCTACTCCATGAAAAATGTAAATAAGTTTGTAATAACAGATGCTCTTTTATGAGAATTACTTTTATGCTGCAATTAGAAATTTCCCAATAGCCATGTGAAGGAGCGTGAAATTATTACCTCCAATAACAGCTCCTATTGCTTCTCTTTTTGGGAGCACCTTTCATCAGGGCAGATCAAAGTGCCTCTGAAGCACTAATTAACTGAACCTCAGAACTGCCCGTGAGGAAGGGCAGTCCCCAAAGCCTTGCTGATAAGGCAGGCCTGGGACAGAGAGGGCAATTCATTTACCAAAGGTCACACAGCAGTGCAGTGTCAAAGAACAGGCTTTCTGTGGAAAATCAGAAGGTTAGAGAAGCTGGCTATTTATGCTGTGATACAAAAAAAGCATTTGATATCTAAAAAAAAAAGTCTTGAATTGACTCTGGGACCAATGCTGGCACCTCCTTAGGTAACTCAGGCTGCCTCTGCAAAGCCCTGACTTCCTCAGGTACTGGGAGGGGCTGGCGGCAGAAACCCAGAAGGCTTGTGATGGGAAGCCCAGGTGCAGCCACCTGTAGATACACAGTCCTGGGCTGCGACCCCTCTTGGGCCCAAGATGCCCACAGCTGCAGCTCTGAAGGCCAGTTTCCCTTTGCTCAGGACCCAGTCCAGAGGCCAGCAACTCAGCTCCTCTGCAGGGGGGACCCTGAGATAGGGTGGGCAGCAGGACCCCAGCAGGCCCCCTCCCTCACCTCCAGAGCAGGCCCAGGATGCCGCTGGAGGGATCGCTGTGCCTGTTTTACAGAGCAGGGGTTAACCATCACCGAGCTGGTTGGTGGCCGAGCCCAGACCCAAGTCCGGGCTGACCACCACCACAGCGCAGTACTGCTCTGCTAGGCAGGGACCTGGTGACTGTTTGCTGGCATCTGGGGTGTGCAGCCTGGGAGGTGGTGTGGTTGGGGTAGTGGTCACCTTGCCCACCCCATCAGCTGTTCAAAGATGACAGCCTTCTAGTGCGGGCTCTCTGGCTCGTGCGTCTGTCTGCGGGGCAGCTGAGCCCACCGGGGGTAATACAGGGCCAGGAGGCAGGGTAGGCCTGGCCCTGTCGCATTCACGTAACTGTCCACTCAGCACCAACAGGCCCCATGGCCTCGTCAGCAGGGCAATGAGACAGAGGCAGAGCAAGCAGGTCTGGGAGGTGAAGGACGCCCAGGAATACAAAGGCAGGAGGCACAGGGCTTTGCCCAAAGAGCGCCGTGGTTTGAGGACACAACCGGAATACAGCTGTAGGCTGGTTGCGGGAGGGGTACTCCTTTAATTATACCCACTGCTCGTGTGTCCTCCCCACCCACCTGGACAATCCCAGGCCACTCCGAGGTTCCCTTCTGTGACATAGCTGATGTCACGGCGGCAGCTCTGTGCTGTCCTCAGGCCCCCGTCCCACTCTAGCTCTTCAGCCGTCCCTCACCACTGCTCAATGTTGGCTCTCTCCCGTTTCTTGCTCTGTTCTCCTAGATGAAGGCCAGTGCCGGAGAGCAGCCTCAGGTGACCCTGTCCGCAGTCAGAGCCCCACAGTCACGGGCTCAGCACGCAGGGAAAGACACCCCTGAGTGCTGTGGCCACAAGCTGGTGCCCTTACCTGCCACTGCCAATGGATGGGAACGCGATGGACTTCAGCTTCTTATCATCCGCCAGGGCCAAGCAGTTCTTCACTGTCTTTTCCAGAAGTTCCTCGCACTTGTCTGCACCCCAGACGGGACTGTTACAGTGGATCACAAACTTGGCGGGCAGGCCGTGTCCTGCACTGACAGCAGCTGGAGGGGACGAGACAGGAACGGTGAGTTCCGTCCCTCCGTAAAGCACACAGCGCCAGATGCCAAAACCAGACCCACTGGGCAGTGACAGCACCTTCCGGAGCCCCTGTGACCTGCGCCCAGGGAGGGCCGAGGGGGGATTCGAGCGCGAGCTCGAGCCGGAAACCGCTCATCAGTTAGCCTCCCTCCCCCGTCCGGAGAGGGCCGCACCAGGACCCAGCCTTGGAAAGCTGGCGCAGGCTGCGTGGCCACCAGGACTCTCAGCCAGGACTGTGGTGAGCTCTTCCCCTGCCCTCCCAGAAGGCAGGGGCCTTCAGCATCTGACTTCACTGAATGTGTCAGAATGCCTGCAGCCTCAAATTAACTGCCTTTTGGGGTCTCTAACCCCCTTTCCTCAAGTGCATTCATGTGCCTATATAATTATGATGTATCTATAAACCTCCCAGAGTTTGCTACAAACTTACGAGGAAAGCAACCAGACTAGCATGTCTGCTGCCCTGTTCTTTTCCCTAACTGCTTAGTTTGGACAGATGAGACCGTTTCTAGGAAGGGACTGTTTTCTTTTCCTAGAAGAGGAGCCTTGGCCCAGCTGCATGTTTCTGCAGCCTGTCCCGCTCTCCACCTCCGACCCTTGTCTGATTCTGAGACCCTGGCCGTGGGCCTGCTACCCAGCAGGAAGTGGGACAAGCTGGCCCGGTGTCCCCGAGCACATTTCAGGATTCCTGTCCCCAGAGATGCAACGCAGAGGTGCGTCTGGGCCAAGGGCTGGTGGATGCTGCATGCCCTGCTCTGGCACGGGGTACACCGACCCCTGCACCACCGCCACGGAGGACACCCAAACTTGTGGTTTGACCGAGCCCGTTTCGTGAGGAACCCTAGGCAGCACTACCCACAACATGTGGCGTGTTAAGGCTGTGTCACTAGCAGACCCTGTGAAACAGTGCTTTGTGGGTGGTGCCTCAGGGTGCAGTAGAAACAGCTCTGAGTCTCAGGTCTGAGTGTGTGTGTTCACGCTGCTCACTTATGGGCTCACAAAACCTGGGCTGAAGTGCCGACCGACAGCAACCTAAGCCTGAGGCTTAATTCATGGTCCGTCCCCATGAGACATCACTGCTAAACTGTGCGTGAAAAAAGATTGCAAAGAAGCGCATTAACAGTGACTATCTTCAGGCAGTGGAGCAGGGCTGTGCTTTATCTTTATATTTTAAAATCTCTTCTAAAAAAAATCTTAAAACCAAGCCCAAAGTGTGCTTTTGTTACTAGAACAAGCAAATGTGTCCTTAGCCATGTTAAATCTAGTGCACGGCAGTGCCAGAGCCACCAAATAGGCCCATGCTGGAGCGCCATGTCGCAGGGCCCCAGGCTGGCTCAAAGTGCCAGAACCCGCCGCAGAAAGGCCCGGAGCCCTTGGCCGAGTAGCTTATGCTGTGTGTGTCCTCCCTTGTTCCAGGTGGCGCTGGCTGGGAGAGCTGGGTAACTAACTATGTCCCCCATGAAATGCCATGTCCCTCGTAGGCAAAACAACTGGCAGAGCTGAGGTCAAAGGCACAGAGCCTCGAGGGGACGAACCCTCTCATCCCCACCAGCCCCGTGACCTGCTCCAGCCCGGGCTGGTAGGTCATAAGGGCTTGGAGGGAAAGGGCTTATGCGGATATAGCAGAGTAACTGTTGATACCCATGTTTAATTCAGATTCATTAAAAACAGGATCTGAAGACAGAATGGCACTGGGACCATCTAGTAAGAAGGGAAACCAGAGCCCTGAAAAGAAAGGGGATGGCCTATCCCCGCCCAGCTTCGGGCAGAGCCCAGTCTCACCCACCACCTGGACTCCCAGGCCCTCGGTGGCTTTCTGTCCCCCTGGAATTTCGAAATCTTCTGCCTGCATAGCTCTCAACCCTTTTCTCCCCACCCCCACATCAGATTGCCCTGTATTAGGAAAGGTGTAATTGGCAAGTGAGAAATGTGTGTTTATATTTTCCCCATTGAAAGCACAGATGGCTGAATACAAATGACTTATTTGTATCTCTCACCAGCAGTTTTGCAGATGGCTCAGCATCACTCTCTCTCTTTCTCAGATCTTAACATCTGCCACTCGGCTTCTATAATTCCTTAAAATTTGAGGTCCAGACATCAAACATTTAGAAGCTATTTTAAGTATTAAAGAACTGGAAAGGCTATGTCCACTGCCCTGAAGCTCCAGTGACAATTTGCCTGTGACAAAGTTTAAATTGTTAGGCCAGCAGGCTCTGCCTCCAGCTCAGAGACACGTTTGCACTGCCATCTCTGAATTCCAAGTTGTCTCATAAAACGGTTTCCCTGATTCCGCATGGGCCACACCCAGATAACACCCTGTGCTTCTTGACCTTACCTCCAGCTACTTCCAAAGGCCCGTTCTTTTTCCGGAGCTCCAGAACAGCTTCCACAAACTCCTTGCCACCTTTCTTCTCCAGCGTGTTTCCTAGACAAGGACAGGGCGCGGTCAGAGTGCCACCCCGGAGTCTCAGGGCACACACACACACTCAGCACGTCAGGCGACTATGCACGCTGTGATTTGACCAGCTCACTCTCCATATAGCTGCAGAACAGGAGCTAAGCCTCGGCTGAGTCACACGAGTGAGATTTAGAAGGGATTCACCATCGACCAGTCACCACTCGGGCGCTGCAGACCCTTCTTTGGGGCTGACTCAAGGTGATCCTGGAGGGGCCAGAGATGCAAGAGGGACGGGAGGCGCCTGTTCTTGGCGAGCACGCCTGTGCTGCGTACTGTATTTCAGCGTGAGAAACCAGATGGTGCTGGCTTCCAAGGCTGATACCGCCCCTGGATTTTCTTCTGTCTCTGGGAGAACCCCCAAATAAGGAGGTTTTGGGAAAGGCATACCATGCTCCCATCAGGAAGCTGGCTCCCCTCCTGGCCGCAGGCCCAGAGAAAGCACTCAGAGCTGGCCACCTTTGGACTAGCATTAGCATCATGCTTAGTTCCTATTTTGCAGCTTTGATATATGTGAATACAAAAAATAATAATAATGGCCTCAGACAGAATTTCCTTAATCACACTTATGATTTAGAATCATTTTAGGTCAAGGAGAACAACATCAGAAACAGAGCTTAAAGATGAACTTGTGATGTAGAAAGGCCTGCAAAGAAGGGTGGCCTACCGGTCAGGGTCAGGTTGGTTCTTTTAGCCCAATGGCAGCAGGAAGCACCTTTTCTCGTGCATCGGAGTGCCTGATAATTAATTTCTGTTAGGAAAGCCAAGCTCTCCAGTGAGATCCCAACACCGATAAGATCCGTGGGTTGCATGTCTCGTGTGGGATGGCAAGCAGTGACCAAGATGACAGACAACATCACCCTTTCAAGTTTGGCCAGAATGGGGTCTCATTCTTCCTTAAGCTCTGATTCCTCAGTTTTGCACATTTTAAAGTACTTTTCCTCACAAGAGGACAAAAATACTCCTCTTAAGATGTACCGTGTATCTTGGAAAACTCAAGGTGTGCCTGGCAGATTCTGGGATGGGCCAGTCAGGGTGCATGGGAACGCACCAGCCCTGTAACGACCAGGGCTGACTTCCTTAGAGAAACCTGCCTCATTCTGCATGCTTATTCTGGAGGGCTGCCCCTGACCCCAGGAAGTGTCTAGAAGGAAAATCAGATGCCTGGGCACTGTTACCAGTAAGTCAGCCCTGGGCTAATGGCAGGCACTGACCTGTGAGCCCCCGGCTGCAGGAAGCCTGGGCTGTGCGAGCAAACGTGACCGGCAGGCCGTCACCCATAGGGGCCCTCAGCTCTCCGGGGGGAGGCCTGGCTTTCTGAGCGATTGACTTGGGATCCTTGAGGTGGGACCCAGCCTCCCTCCTCCTCAGCCCAGACTGCCCCCCTGCCTTTCCATCTTGGAAAGGAGTGGAGTAGGCATTTAAGTGGCAGAGGTGGCAACAGCTATGTGTTTCTGACACAGTTCAGCATCAGAGACAGTGACTGAATGGGCTTAAGAAAGCAGGTTCGGGTCTCAGGGCTCAGAGCCCTACCCACCAACAAGTGGAGGCTTTGAGGATACAACTAGGTGAGGCCCGCTTGCAGTTTCACCTGTGATATCCGAGTAACTGAGAAAAAAGAACCTGCTGGGTCCCAAATGCGGCTGCCCAGCTGCACCTGGTCAAGCCGTGCCTCCTAACCCAGCCCGAGCGAGGGAAGGAGACACGTGTTATAGCAGGACCATTGCAGGTCCTCGCTCTCCATCCTGGCTGCTCTTGGGGAGAGCTGGGAAATTTGGAAGGGAAAATAAAATCAGTACTGTGTTAATACTACCAACTCCGTCCAAAAATACAAAACATTTAAGAAAATGGGCTGATGTACAATTAAAGGTGTTTTATCTTAGGAAGAGTGTTTACTTTAAAATTTTTACTTATAATTAAATCTCGCTTTAATTAGAAGCGAAATTTGCAAGTTAAAATACACTTAACGCATTTCCCCAACTTAAAAACTGAACCCTGGATTGCAGGCAACGCACCCAGTCAGGACGTGACTCCTACACACACATACGTATGCACATGTTCATGTAGACACACGTGTACTTTTTAACAAGAAACAGGCCCATTTCAACTGTATTGTCAACACTCTTAATGTGAGACTCTTGCTTTTTAGGCTTCCCTTCAGGGTTAATCATAAGCAATCGGCTTCCTTGCCCCCAAGCATAAACACGTGTTACGCCCGTGAGAACAAGAACGTTATTTCATGCTTAGAAAGCAGGCACAGGTGTCAGTGTTCAAAACAGCCTGAGCAGAAATTTAGGCTTGGGCACATGTCAGGCTCAGCCTGTGGTCTATTTCACTGTTAGAAAGAACTTCTGATGGGTCAAGTTAATCACTGGGGCTACGCATTCCTGCACTCGCATTCCTTCTTCCAGCAGTCTCAGGGCTCGGAATTCGCACCAAATGGGAGAAGTGGAATGACTGCGTCCTGGCTTCCTCGCTTTCCCTCTCACACCCCCGCGTGGGAGCTGGAACCAATTGAGAGCACGCACGAATCTGGCTGGTCGCTGGTTTGGTATCGTAAAGCGAATCTGGGTTCAGTACTCGTTTGGACTGGTTCTCAGAAAAAGCACTGAGGTGGACTTTGGAAGGCCTGGGTTCTGGTCCTGGCAGTCTCTCCTCCTCAGCCACTCAGGTTGTCTGGACCTGCTAAGGTTTTTGCCCAGCTGTGGCAGTGTCAGTGTGTGAGGCGACCTTGGGCAAGCTCTTGGACCCAGGTTCCTTACATGTCACCAAGGCTAGTGTGTGTTTCCTGCGGGCACAGCAGTGGGCTGGGGTCAAGCAGGCCAGAGGGAAAAGCATTGGCATCATCATTATTCGGGAAGGACAGGGCTCTATGGGGTGGGGGTGTCATGGCTGCCTGCCTGGGCCTCTGCAGAGCCTCTGGCTCCAGCCTGCAGCATGGTCAACCCTGCCACACACAGGCCGCCCAGGCCCAGGTGGGAAGCTTGGACCCCAGAAATTTCCTGATTCCCATTTCACCAAAAGCCCTGGTGGGCAGGGTGAATCCAGGCCTCAGTCACTCCTGGCTGAAAGATGAAACCATGGCTGTCCGTTTATCTTCCTCCAAGTAAGTATCTCTCTCACACTAAGTTTTCATTTGGTTAAGAAAGGAAGTATCTCTCTATCAAACTGCCTGACTTAGGTGCTCTTGAACTCCCCCAAAATCTTGTCAAAGGGCAGTTTATTTTAATTACCTACAGCCTGGTTTCACTTTGGCCTGAAGGATTTGGTGAATCCCGACTTTCCACCCGTGTACGAAATTCAAAATGCCCAGGACACCAATCAGCCCAATCACAGGGCTGGAGCAGACGGGGGACAGCAGGCTTTGCCAGTGACACGAAGCAGAGCTAGGCGGCCAGACTGCTCACCTGCTGCCCCTCCTAGGTCTGGACACTCATGAAAATCCCGAGAGCCTCATCCTTCATGATAATCTCACCTTTGCCCTTATTACGAACATCTCCATTCTCCCTGGAAGCTGGTGCCTGAATCTACCTCGGAATGCTCCTCTTGGGCCCCACACATGGACTGTAAAATCCACACACACACGAGAGCGAGACCACAGGTCAGCACCAGCCATGAGCCAGTCATAAAACAAGGTGCTTTGCTTATTATTTAACATAATTGTCATTGTTACAATTACTTTTAAGATAGGGAACCCGAAGCATCAGGGAGCTAAGTGACTTGCCCAGGCCCCACAGCCAGTACAAGGTGAGGTCAGGATGCAAGCCCCCCATACCTAGCTCCAACACTGTCTTTTCTCTTGAAAGATGTCTCATTACCTATGTCTCATTACATAAGTGCCCCAGCACATTTTTAAAGCAGGGCACTACTTGACTTGCTGCGGCAGCAAGGCGGCAGCCATGGCTCCGCACCCTGAGTGCCTGAGTGCTCTTGGCCTCACCCTGTCCCCAGCTATTTAGCGCCAGCAGCCCAGCGATGATGTGCACCAGCTGCTGGGGAGAGGAAGGGGTTCTCTGGGTCTAGGAGAGTGTTTTTCAAGATCGGTCTAAGGACACCACATAGAAATGAGGATATTTTTGTTCTCGGAGGCTCTGAGAACCCTGGGTGTGGGCAAGTGTTCTGAGTTTGGGTAAGTGCCCCAGGGGGCACCTCAGCCTTGAAGACTACTTTCAGGAGTGTGCTCTGATGCAGAGAGAGAGAGAGGCAGGGGCTGGCATGCAGCCATCCCTGTGTGTGCCTGGTCCACAGAGGGCACAGAAGTGGACTGGGACACCCCTCAAGACGAGCTGGGTGCATCGCCCTTGTGGCCTAGGTCCTGTGTGAACCCAGGCTCCATCAAAGCTGCACCTCGTGAAGCAAGTGGAGAAATGAGGCTGCTGAACCAGTTTCCAAACCAGAAGCGTGCCCATTTGTGAGCTGCATGAGGCACCTGGCTGACAGCTAGCTGTATTTCTCATGTTCACAACCCGGGACAGGAGACCTGGGGAAGGTCAGGACAGCTGGAAGTGTGAAATGAATGCAGCCCTGCATAGCTGTCCAAGGGTCAAGCTGTCTGCGGCGGCCGACTGACCATGCACACACACACTCGGCAGCACCCAGCTAGGCATTACCTACTTCACCACCGATGTAGAAGTCAGTGTTTGTCGGGTGAACGACAGCATCACTGTCGATCGAGGCAATGTCAGCCTGTACAACTTGCAACTATAATAGGTAAACAAATGTATATCAACTGTGTTGGACCGAGACCCACGCACAGGCACATTCACTATCGCCCCATGGCAGGGCTGGCCTACCTGGTCGATTCCAACATAGCAGCCCAAGGGGCACAGTCCACGGAGTGTGCGCACACGTGGATGGGGGTGAGGAGGAGGAATATCAAATGTGACATGTTGAAATTAAACATTTGAATGACAAATCCCAAAAAAAGAGAAACACACACATGAGATCATTACAAAGGTTAAAAGAAATAACAAAACAACGAATGCCCCGTTTCACTTCGCAAAAGCCTGTAAAACCGGCTCCCCACGGAAAAGGTTGCTAAAACATGGCGTCTGCTTAAAAAAAAAAGAGTGGACGATCAGGCCAACCAAAACAATGAGTTTCTCCATTCTGTCAGAAGCAGTCAGCTTTCCGGGTCTCGTGTTCAGACTGTCTACCTTCAAGGGACATCTCTCGAACACCGAGAAAACAGTACAGGTATGCAGACAGGATTACCTTTACCTTTCCCCTTCAATGAGTATAAATGTTTCTCCAGGCCTACCTCATTCTAGGTAATCTTATTTCTAGGTATTTTATGTATAATAGGACAGAATACTTTCTTTTCCCAGCTTGTGGCTTTTTAAAAAGAGGGTGTCTGATGAAGGCAGCTGGAAAATGAGTTTGAGCAGGGCCCTGCCGAGTCCCAGGTCCCAGACTTCTGCCCCCTCCTGGGCCCGGCTTGTGCGGGCTGGGCCTGGGCTCCGGAACACGCCTCTCTCGGCACAGTCGGAAACTCTGCTGGCTTCCAAAGGCGGCCCCGGGTGGGAGTGGAGGGCGCACAGAATGCACCAAAGCCGGCATGGGCATGAGGCCGCCTGGGTGTGGACACATGCCAGCCTGCTGCTCCAGGCAAGGCTCACAGCCAAGAGGACAGGGGCCTTTCTGGTGCCCCTGAGTTCAGAGCTCCACTGCGCAAAGGTGGAGCCACAGAGTGGGATGCTCTGAGCACAGAGACCCCGTGGCTCATGGGGCAGAGCTTCCCTCTGCAGGAACACTCTTGGAAATACTGCTCTTCTTTGTAGTATCATCCTCTACCCAAGTCATTTGTGATGGTGACACTCAGTCACAGTTTTCAGTTGTAAAAACAAACTGAAGTGACAATTAGGTGGTACATTTGGAGAAAGCCAATTGGCTGGTGGATTAAAATCAGCTTAATTGTATCCTAATGCAGCTTGTCTCCCTTTTCAGGGGCTTTCGAGCTTTGAGTGTCACTGTAAGGCTTAAATGGAGAAACTATCATTTTGGAGTTACCTGAGATTTTTCCGTTCTTAAAAAAAATAAACACATTTTTAAAATATACCCCCCAAGTAACCAGCAGTCAGTGTGATCATTATGGAAGAGAATTTAGATGGTGGTAGGTTTATAATCAAGGGGGGAAGCAGCCAATTGCACTCAATGGAACCCCATCTGATCATTTCCGTTTGGAATGGCCCAGAGTGAGCAGACACTCAGTGTCTGCACCCCAACATTCATCATGGATTCGGGAATTTGGCTTGACCATCTGGAGTTTGAGAAGATAAAGAGCCTAAATTCTGGGTTCCATAACTTTTCATCTGACAGCTGGTGGTGCCAAACCCCATTCCCAATTACCTAGGTCATCTTTAAGGTCAATGTCAGCATTGGTAGGATTGATTATGGCCTCCACCTCAAAGCCGGCTAAATTACTGATTTCACTGTGAATAAGGTTCAGCTGAAAAGAAAAGCATGAGGTGGGAAATAACAGGACAGCCGGGAAGTCACAGAGAAGTGAGCCTTGGGACACAGATGAAGGGCAGCGAACACTTCAAGTGCACTGGGCACAAAGGGGAACTGGCTAAAACGAATCTAAGGACTCAAATGCCACTCAGACGCTGAAAGGGTGCGAGCTAGCCTGAGGGTCCAGAGCCCATTGGGTGATGCTTAGGCAGAAGAGGGAGTCCGGGAGGCACAAGCCACCCTGGACTGGTAGATCCATATCCCTAAAAGGACTTGTGATTTGGGGGCTACAGAGAGGCAGCTGCCAGGCCCTAGGATCAGGACACTCACTGCTGGGTGGGGCGCTGGGTGTGGCCACCCTGTCCTCTGAGCTCTGGGATGTGCAGAAGTCCCAGCTGGTCTGAGCAAACACCAGTAGCTCTGCTTTTTCCTCCAAGTGGCCACTGGTCTTCAAGGCTGTCCCCCATTGCCATGACTACTGGCTGGCTGGCCCCCTGCCCTGCTCAGGGGTGGCAAGGAGGAGAATGGTCTGTTGCTCAGTAATTTGATGTGTCTTCAGTCATGTGATACTGATGGCCTGGTGGCACCCAGGAAGGAAACAGCAGGTCTCTAGCGAGTCACTGTCTTTTGAATGGTTTTTACCTTGTTGGTGAAGTTACTCTGAGGCCCAATGAGTCGAGCACTTTCCCTGAATGAGTCTTATGAGTACCGGATCAACTGGATCTTTTAAACAGTCACTAAATGCCCCCTCCCCACTGTTCTTCTGTTCCTATAGCAACCCTCAGTATGCAAGGAATCCCAAATTCTAGGCTCAGCTGTGAGAGGGACAAAGAGAACTGGAATTAGCTGGCTCAGGGCTCCTATCCTGTGTGTACTCTTTCCCTTCCTGTTCTTGGGCACTAGCGCCTGGAGCAAAGGTAGCTCTCTCTTAAGATATTCATTCTTCAGTGACACGAATTCCTAACAGCTGCAGCAAAGAGCAATGCCTGAGCCCCGAGCAGCTGGTGCCCCAGACGGACTGAGACCCAGGCTGGGCGAGCTGACTGCAGCCTGCTGGGCCCGGCGGGGCAGGAGCCTGTGTCCGGGCCCTCGCCCCAAGGACACTTGGCAGGGACCCTCTTGGCAATGGAGCTCCAAGACACCGAATTTCTGGGGCCAAATATTTTGTTGAAAACAAAACCAAACACTCTATAAGTCTCAGAGATATAAACCCACACTTCTGATTCCAAGAAGCAGACAGTGGATTCTTAAAAAAGGAACTGACTTAGACTAAAAGTCATCACCCTTTGTGAGAAAGCAGTTGTGGAAGTAAATTTGGTCACATGGCCAGGGAAGGACTCTGGGAGGCCCTGGTACACGGCAGTGGTCCAAATTTTTAGTTTGGACTGGAAGAGAAAGAAGAACAAATTTTCTCCACTTGGACTTTCCACACTATGGTACCCAACCCCACGGGATGATTTCGGGGCCACCCACATCCCTAGAGCTAAGCTCTCCGAAGCACCAGGGAAGAGGCCAGGGGAGAGACCAGCATCAGGCCAGGTGCTCACGGCCCCACTTAGGGAGGGTGTGGTGACATGGGCAGGACAGGGTCTTAGGGTAAGGAGAGCGAACATTCAGGGTTCAGGACAAGGTAAGACGTTAGTTTACGACATATGTCAGTATTGCATTTGACTTTAAGCAAATGCTGTTTATAAAAGCTCAGATTAGGCCAACATTCTGTCCCCTCTACCACTGAAAGAAAAAAACAAAAACCCTGCATGGGTGTGCAAGTGGCAGGAAGTTGGTGGGAAAGGAGGAGGAGAAAAAACCAACACTTTACTTGGTGTGCTGTGGATGAGGTAAGCATACATCTATGAGATTCCTTTTCTGTTTGCAGAAAAACTACATGTGCAAATCCTTCAAATTCACACTTTTTTCTAAGTGCATAGGTGCTTCTGGATTTGTGTTCACAAATGCCTCACTGGAAAATCACCTCTTTCCATGGGCTCCAATTCAACTCGCCTGGAAGACCCCGCAGCTGGCCTCGGACTCTGCCCGGGGAGGGACGGGCCCCCAGGGGGACCGGAGGGCTCTGTGGCTTCACTGAAGGGAGGCAGTGGTTGCAAACAGGACTCCCAATCCTCGGAGGATTCCCTCCTGACCAGAAGCAGCCCGGCTCTCAGGGGCACAGAGTGCTGCACCTCATGGAGCCACTACCCCAACATCAGCATTGGGCATGCCCAGCTGATCAAGGGCTGGTCTCTCACCTGTACTTTGACTTTCCAACTATGCTCTGCTGTGCGCTGGGCTCAGCAGAGTCCTTGGTGTGAGGGCCTAAGCCACAAAACAATTCTGCTGCTATTAATTATGTACAAACATGTATTTTTTTTAAAAGACCCTCTTAACTATGAAGCATATGCTTGGGGAGGGGGTCTGTGTGTGGGAGTTTGCTTGGGAGAAGCATGGGGAGGGGACAAACTGCTTCAGGCACTAGGGAAAGACCAAGGGGTAACCAGCCTGGCTTGGGCAGGCTACACCAGCGGGCAGATACTGCGGTAAGATGAGCGTGAACAAATATGGTAGCTGCCCTGAGCAGGAGAAGATCCATGAGCTCAGACTATAGATGGGCCATGCATGCATGTCTGAAAAGTGTGCACCGTCCCGTAGATACACAGACCTGACAGGTGCACGAGGGACACCCAGACCCTGGGACCCTGGAGATGTCAGGGTCTCCAGCATCACCACCCAGGGGCAAATCCGACTGGGCCTCTCAGCCAAAGGGGTGGATGGCTGTCTGAAGCACATGACAGAGCGAGAAGCCTGAGGGATGGGAGATCAGATTTCTGCAGCACTGTGGGAATTCCCAAGTTTAGTACACTTGCTGGGAGGGAAGAGGGTCATTGAGATTTTAGAATTTTTAGAATAAAGAGACTCCTTCTTTGTCTCAGCATTGGGAAAGTCAGGAAGCTGTTTTAAACCATAGCTTGGGGGGGGGGGCGCGGTTAAAATACCTGTGGAGACTGCTGGCCACTGGAAAGTATGACCAAAGGGTATGGGCAGTTACAGAGCAGAAGGGGGTCCCACCTGGCTGCAGAGTTCGGAGGGGACGGAGCTGAGTGTCCTTCAGGATCCCTTCCACCCCTGAGGCCTGATCATCCCAACTGCCACTGGCTCTGCTGCAGCCACCTCTGATGTCCACAGCACCTGGGTTTCCCTCTAAAGTCGTTATGCCCACAATTGCCCCTGTGCTCACTCGTGATGTGAACTTGTTAGAGTACGAGCTCCTTGGAGGCAGAGGGGTGCTGACTCCTGACCTGAGCGCCGGGCAAGGTCCGAGACGGTGCTCGGGTTTCTGTGGGCACAGAGATGGAGCGGAATTGACACCCGACACCACAACATTACTCTGAGATGAAGTGAAGTCCTCCTCCCCTTCGAGCAGGGCTAAGGGAAATGGCAGCTCAGGAACCAGGCCCTTGGCCTGCCTCGGACCCGAGGTGTCCAGAGCCAAGCTGGTCACCCTGGAAGGGAGGCTGGCACCCACTAACTAGGAATCACCAGGAGGTGGCCTCCTGTGACAGGGAAGGAGCTGGTGGCTTGGAGACAGTGGATGGACATCCAGCATGCCTTGACATGGCCTACTTGGCTGTAGGAAATAGTACAATCCTACTCTATTACATAATCTGATCAGAAATTCAATTTTAGAAAATAAAATGATTGTTAAAGATTCTATGAGTAGCATGTTTAGCCTGTAATTGTCAATTTTTGGTGTCTCTCATTCCCTCATGATGGACAAGGAAGGAGAAGCCTGGCAGGTCATATTTCCCTGTGGAGTCACATGAAATGCAACTCTTTTTCTGTCCCCAAAGTCTACTTAAACTAAGGAGGACGGAAAGGGCAATGTCTCCCACTGAACTGATTCTAATTCCTCACAGAGAACCATGTCCTCTGTGGCCCACTCGAGGGCCTGCTCCTACAACTGCCCACTCTTTCATCGGCACTCTGCCGTCTACCTTGCAGGCAGCCTGGCCTGAATTTCCCTGGCAGCTTCAGGTCTAGCAGTGGCATCTGCTGTGTTTCAGGCTAGAATGTGTCACATAAATATAAGACACATGTGGGCACTGCTGGAGGCCCAGGAGCTGAGTCGCCACTCTCAGGAGCCGATCGATCATCAGCCACAGGTGGAACGGGGTGACAGCCGCCGCCCCCCACCCCCCGCCACCTCATTGCTGCTGCAAGAGCTCCTTGTCTCCTTATAGTTTCCCAGCCCCAGGAGCAGGGTGTCTGGACCAGAGGGAGAAAACCCATGGAACCCACCCTGCCTGTAGTGGCCGACGTGCTGTGGCTGCCACCCTGATAGCCAGGGAGGCAGGAAGACTTGCTCATCCCTCCTGCCACTGCCTTCCAGCTGCTTCAAATAACACTGACCCTGCCAGGAGGCCTAAGTCAATTACCACCGCTGACACAGATTTACAGAAATACACACTGGAAGTGTTTTGGGGAAATAAAATCATCAGGTTTTTATCTCTAATAACAAGGGGCTACAAATCTCCACTGAACTACAGAAGAAAAACTCTCAGCTGATTCAGATTCTGAACACGGTTCCACAATGTGTGTGAACACTGGGTGAAATTGTAGCGTTGTAAGGGCGATGACTTCTGAGACTTCATTATGTGAAATTCATCATCAACAAGGAGATCCCAGCCTCCTGAGTGCAGCCGGCTGCTCCTGTGAGTAGCTTAGCAACCATGCCTTACGCAGCTGCAGGGAGCAGTGTCGCCTCTCTCCAACCAGGCCTGCTTGCAATATTCAAGCCTTGGTCTCATCGTCGCAGGTGGAAAAACAAGACTCATAGGACTGTACGGCCTCACCATCCAGTCATCCTTCTCAAGGACCCTTTTTGAAACATTTCCTAAAATCCAAGTCCAAATTAACGTGCATGATAACATTTTAAAAGGCTGCAGTGCTTGGTGTAGGACAGCCTTTGCTGCCTCCCTTCCAGGGCTCGCAGGCAGCAGAGCCCGGGCAAGACCCTTATCCCAAGATCAAGAAGGGCATCTCCATTTGTAGGGCCGAGTGCTGCAGTTTTGGAACTACTTATGCTCATCCATCAAAGGGTGTGAGGAGTTCCGATCTGAGGCTGACTTTGGGGGAGCCCACAGGCGGTAGGTAGCAAGAACACTGGAAGTGGAGAGGCCAGGGGCAGGGCTGAGGAAGGAGTGAGGGAGAAGGTGACTCCAGGGGACTGAACTGTCCTACCTGCTCAACGGGCTTCCAAGTCCTGGACAGTCATCTGCATTGGGATTTGAGGCACACAGGAGCTAGTCCTAACTAGCAGGGCTTTCCACACTGTCACTCAAACCCAAGCAATTTGACGACAGGGCACAATGACTTTCAGTGCATTACCTGAAGGATGTGTTAAAGGGTGTGTGAGGAGACCCAGGTGGTTGCCTTCACTGCTGAGTTGATATTGTTTAAATAAATAAAAAATATTTTAAACCAGAACTTTCAAGGCCCCAGACCTTAAGATGACAACTAGTGCTGCTTAGTTTTTTCTTGGAGAAATGCACACAAAATACAGATGATGGTTATAAAATGCAAACTGTAATGGTTATTTGCCGGAACACAGAGGCCACCACTGGAACTGCGTCATGAAGCCCGAGTGCCATTAGCGACAGGAGGGGGCGGGGGGACAAGGAGCACTTGCAATGAATGACGTGCGCAGGAGGACTGTCACTGAGATGCAAAAGAAAATCAACAGTGAGGTTTTAAAAATGATGCAGTGGCAGAACCAAGTTGCTGACCACATCCAAACCAAACACAATTTACATGGAAGGCCAAATTCGTGCCTTTAACTTTTTAACGTGCAGGATTAAAAACATTAAGAAAAGTTTAATTCACTCTCTCTCCACCCCCATTTTTAGTGTCATCAAAGAAAGATTAATTTGCTCTCACTCTCAGGTCTTAAAAGCCTCTGCATCATTTTTATTTTCAACAAAAGTGAATCATCTTTTACAAAACCATGATGTCCTGGCAAAGTTGCATCACTGGGGCAGCTGGAAATATACTGCCCACAGTTAACAGAACTGAACAATTGGCTCGAGGAGCCATCAGGCGGCTCTGTGCGCCCCTTACATACCTCCAGAAACAACCCCGTCCCCCAGGTCAGGGGCTCTACCTTCAGCGCCCAGCAGAACGCACGGGCTGCCTGCTAGATCTCTCCTCTTCCAGGACCCAGTTTTAACTTCTGGCTGTTTCTCTGGTCAGTGCTATATGATGACCAGGTGATACCACATAAGCAGCTCCTTCTGAAGGCTAACTGGGGAGTCCCGACCCCCCACAGGAGCCCTTCCCTCGTCTGTACCACCACATCCTCTTCCCGCCTGCCAGCCTCCTCCCAGCACTCCCGGAGGCCACTCTGAAAGCCCTCCCCCCCACTCTCGCCACCCACCCCCCACAAGACCAGGAGTGGCCTCTGTAATCCCCAGGCCTTCCTGCCTGTGGAGGTGGCCTGTGCCCCTCCTTCCCAGGGCCCAAGAGCAGGCCGAGGCTACACGTCTGCCTACCTTCTGGCCGAGGAAGAGGCTCTTGGTGGAGAGAACTGTGAAGCCGTCGGCGGGCGTGCCCTCGGTCGTGCTGTCGGCACTGGCTGCCTTGCTGACTTCTCCCTGCTTCTTCTTGCACAAACAGAAGAGTCAGTACGCGGCACACAGGCAGAGCCTCATGCATCTTGGCATGTCTGACTAGCACACAGCTCACAGGCCTTGCCCGTAGCACTCAAGAGAAAACAGGAAACTGAATCACCAGCGCCCCTCAGTTTTTCTCAAAGTGGGGGCTGCACACTTATTTTGAAGTACAAGAATTCTATGAAAAATGTTAACTTGTATTTTTAGCACTTTATAATCTAAAAAAATTAGCTATCAAAGGCAAAATTTTACATGGGTAATTTAGAACAAACCTATTTTCATAGATTTAGACCAAGTACATGTCTCTTAATTAAGAGTCTCCCCTTTCTAGGTGGCTGTACACTATTCAAGCTTGAAGAGAAAAAAAAATTGTTCTAGGTCATTAGTTCTCAAAGAACCAAAAAGCAGACTGAGGACCACAGTCTGCCAACTCTCCCCAGCCCAGGGGTAAGACTCCCCGACTCCCCTTCAGTAAAACCAGCCCTGGAGAAGGATCCATGGGGAGTGTCTTGGTGAGCCCACTGCCTACCTAGAGACCCCAGCCCCCATCGGGGCATGGATCCCAGCATATCCAGCATCACTCAGTCTGAAGGCATGTACCCTGGGGTTCCCAAGAGCCTTTCCAGACTTATGTTGCATGAAGTTTCATCAGCTTCCAGATCCTCAACTTTCTCATGTACTTTTCTTAAAATTGATCTGCTCTAAGAGCGACTTAAGCCCATGGCAAAGGGTTCACGCTGGCTGCCTTGCACAACCACCCTTCTCCCACTTCCCAGACCACATATTAGCATGGCACACCCAGGAGGAGGAGTGCAAGTCTTTTCTGGTCTTTTCCATATTTTGGCCAAGGATGAGGCTTGTTTTAAAAAAAAAAAATGGATATTTTGAATCATTTGGGGATTTTCTGCATCCACATATATTGTAGAGTGATGATAGTGGTAACAATGGCAATTTTTGTTTAGACACTAAACCCTTTCCTTGCCCCAATTATTGCCAAGAAGTACATCACTCCTGAGGAAGGGTCTAGTGGGAACAAATCAAGAAAGTAGGACTTCTCTGCTGGAGTCACGTCCAGTCCTCATAGCTGGTCAGCCTGAGGGTCAATCCCACCCACTGATGTACCAACCCTAATCAAGGCTCAACTACAGAAGGATGACACACACTAACCACACCAGGGACACCTGGCTCAGGTGACCAGGGAGATGGTGCCACTGGGCCCCACAAGACAACTACTACCTAAGGCCACTCTGACAAGACTGGAAGGTTTAGCAGATCTACTTAATACATAGAAACACACACAGGGAGACAGCCAACATAAGGAAACAAGCATGTCCCAAATGGCAAAATAGGAGAATACTCCAGAAAAAGAGCTAAATGAAATGGAGACAAGTAATCCACCAGAAACAGAGTTCAAAACACTGGTTGTAAGGCTGTTCAATGAACTTAGGGCAAAAATAGATGAACTCAGTGAGAACTTACAAAAAGAGATAGAAACCATAAAAAAAAAGTTAAAAACGAGGAATACAAAAACTGAAACGGAGAATTCATTAGATGGACTCAACAGCATATTAGATGAAGCAGAAGATCATATCAGCAATCTGGAAGACAAGGTAGCAGAAATCAACCAATCAAAACAGCAAAAAGAATTAAAAAAAAATAAGGCTAGTTTAAGGCAGCAGCTCCCAACCTTTTTGGCACCAGGCACCAGATTCGTGGAAGGCAATTTTCCATGCAGCAGGCTGGGGTGTGCGGGAACAGGAAGCGGAGCTCAGGCGGTAATGTGAGCAAAGCTTCGTTCATTCACCTGTTGCTCACCTCCTGCTGCGCAGCCTGATTCCTAACAGGCCATGGACTGGTATTGGTTTATGGCCCAGGGGTTGGGAACCCCTGGTTTAAGGGACCTCTTGGACAACATCAAGCACACCAACATTTGCATCACAGGAGTACACAAACAAGAAGAGAGCAAGGAACTGAAATTTTGATGTGAAAGAATAACGGTTAATGGAAATAGACGCACAAGTCCAGGAATCAAGTCCCAAATAAGATGAACCCAAAGAGGCCCACATCAAGACACATCATGATGAATATGCCAAAGGTAAAATATAAATACAGAATCATAAAAGTAGCAAGAGAAAAGCAGTTAGTGACATTCAGGGGAGCTCCCATAAGACTGTTATTTATTTCTCAACAGAAACATTCAGGCCAGAAAGGACTGGCATGAAATATTCAAAGTGATGAAAAGTAAGGATCTACAATACGATCACTCTATCCATTTAGAATCAAAAGAGAGAGAGTGAAGAGGTTCCCAGATGGTAAAAAAAAACTAAGACTTCATCACCACTAAATGAGTATTACAAGAAATGTTAAAGGGATTTCTTTAAGAAGAAAAGATAAAAAATATGAATAGAAAGTATAGGAAACAATAATTCTCACGAAGGCAAACACATAATAAAAGAAGTGGATCAACCTACTATAAAGCTAGTACAAAGGTTAAACGGCAAAAATAGGAAAAATGTGTAATTACAACAATAAATTGATATACACACAAAGTAAAAAATAATCACAAAAACATAATCATGGAGGGGTTGAATAAAACTTGTGGTGCTTATATTGTGTTTCAACTTAGGCAACCAATAATTTAAAATACAGTGCTATAAACGTAGCTTTGTGTATAAGAAGTACATGGTAACCACTAGCTAAAATTCTACAAAAGATAATTTAAAAAAGGTATAAAGGAATCCACACACAACACTATAGAAAGTTATCAACATATAACAGAATAGAGGAATAAGAATCAGATTAAAGAGAACTACAAAAACAATGAAAAACAATGGGACACAGTAAAATGTCAATAACTACATACCTATCTATAATTACTTTAAATGTAAATGGACTGAATGCTGTAATGAAAAGCCACAGGGTTTTCTGCCTGCAAGAGAACCACTTCAGATCAACACACGAACTAAAAATAAGGAGATGAAAAAAGGTATTTCATGCAAATGAAAATGAAAAAAAGAAAAAGCCAAGGCAGCCATACTTATATCAGAGAAAATAGACTCTAAAACAGGGACTGTAACAAGAGACAAAAGAGGGCATTTCATAATGATAAAGGGATCAATCCAAAAAGAGGACAAAACTCATAAACATCTATGCACCCAATCTAGGGACACCCACAGAGAGCGAGCAAATACAGACAAACATAAAGGGAGAGATCAATAGCAAGACAGTCACACTAGGGGACTTCAGCACCCTATTGACATCAATGGATAAATCATCTAGACAGAGAATCAACAAGGAAACAGAGACTTTAAAAGACTCATTAGGTCAGATAGACTTAGTTGATATTCTTTAGGACATGTCATCTAGAAGCAGCAGAACATACATTTTTCCTAACTGTACATAGAATATTTTCCAGGACAGACCACACATTAGGCCACAAAACAAGCCTTGATAAACTTAAAAAGATTAAAATCATACCAAGCATCTTCACTAAGCACAAGGGTATGAAACTAGAAATCAATTACAAAAGAAAACAAAAACACACAAACACATAGAGGTTAAATGACATGCTACTAAACAGTGAACAGGTCAACAATCAGACCAAAGAAAAAAACAAAAGATACCTTGAGACAAATGAAAATGAAAACAGAATGACCCAAAAACCTATGGGACACAGTAAAAGCAGTTCTAAAAGGGAAATTTAGAGCAATGCAGGCCTACTTCAAGGATCAAGGGAAAAAAACTCAAATAAACACATTAACCTTTCACGAAAGGAACTAGAAAAAGAAAAACAAAGCCCAATGTGAGTATAAGGAAGGACACAATAAAGATCAGAACAGAAATAAATGAAATAGAGTCTTAAAAAATAATAGAAAAGATCAATGAAACTAAGAGCTGGTCCTTTTTATTTTTAAGATTTTATATATTTTTAGAGAGAGGGGAAAGGAGGAAGAAAGAGAGGGAAACATCAATGTGTGGTTGCTTCTTGAGCACCCCCTACTGGGGTCCTGGCCTGCAACCCAGGCATGTGCCCTGAATAGGAATTGAACCAGTGACCCTTTGGTTGGTTCACAGGCTGGCACTCAATCCACTGAGCCACACCAGCCAAGGTTGACACTGTTCTTATAATATTTTTTTGAATGTCTTCTCAGGCAAGGGAAACAAAGGAAAAAATAAATAAATGGGGCTGCATCAAACTAAAGAGTTTTGTACAGTAAAGGAAACCATCAACAAAATGAAAAGATGATCAACTGAATGGAAGGAGATAGCTGCCAATGATATAAGGAACTCATGTGACTTAACACCAAAAATCCCACAAACAATCCAATTATAAAATTGACAGAGGACCTGAATAGACATTTCTTCAATGAGAACACAGAGATGGCCAACAGACATGAACTGATGCTCAACATTACTAATCATCAGGGAAATGCAAATTAAAATCATGATGAAATATCACTTCATACCCGTCAGAATGGCTACCATCAATAAACCCACAAACAACAAATGTTGGTGAGGATGTGGAGAAAAGGGAACCTTGTACACTGTTAGTTGGATTGTAAATTGGTTTAGCCACTAAAAAAAACAGCATGAGGGTTCTTCAAAAAATTAAAACTAGAACTACCATATGACCCGGCAGTTCCACTTCTGGGAAGAAATCTGAAAAACTAATTAATGTAACAAGAAATAAGCATCCCTATGTTCATTGCAGCATTACTTATTATAGCTAAAATATGGAAGCAGCCCAAGTGCCCATCAACAGATGGCTGAATGAAGATGTGGTGCAGATACACTATGGAATCCTGCTCAGGCATAAAAAAGAATGAAATCTTGATACCTGGAACAACATGGGTGAACCTAAAGGATATTATGCTGAGTGAAATAAGCAGGACACAGAAAGACAGATACCATATAATTTCACTTATATGTGGAATCTAATAAATAAACAAAACAGAAACAAACTCATAGATACAGAGAACAAATTGACAGCT